CGGTTGGTAGAAGCCCTGCAACGCACTCCAATATAGTGTGCCATTTTGGTGCAGTGGTCCAGACTATAAAATGTTAACTTCGTTTCTCTGCCTTTCCTTCAATGTTTTCTTTTTTATTTTGAAAGGTGTAACCGGAGTTAAATGTCTTGAGATTATCTCTATTTATCGGCGAGTGTTATGATGCTTAAGCAAGCATGATAGCAAAGACATAAAAAATCGAAAAGGTTTGCAGATATTACGGCACCCAGCAATTGATTATAGGTATTTTATAGGACTAAAAAGCCGAATCAGGGATTTTGCAAGACACGAACTTCCTCTTCTAATCTGCAAAAAGATCAATGGTGCGACATACAAAGAGCGAGAATCCAGGGACAGCCGTGGTGATAACATTGCCAGGCATCGTTTCCCATAATTTTAAGTGATTGAGGGAGTGTAAGATTGCCTTCATACTTTCTGAACAGGGAGAATAGGCGTTTCAGGAGAATCGTCGATTTTGAGCATGGAGGAATACGCGAAAAGGCAACTGTAGGTTTGATGTGGTCCTCCGAAAGAGTAGGCGTATTGAGAAAACCAGTGGTTTGGGCTCCTATTCAATATACAGGGCGATTCTTCTATTCTCGCAGAGAGCTAGATTGATTCCTCGACTTCCTTTTCGCTCACAACGCCGCTTCCCCAATGCAAAGTAGGCAGCGCTCCCTAACTCCTTCAACATTACGGGTAGGGCACGTGGAAAATTTTGCAAAATATGACCCCTTCCCCCTCCTCTGAACTTCCTCCTCTGGTACGACCTATCTACCTAGCATTTTCCTGAATCCTCCCAACTTCCTTGACTTTTCCCAGTTTTTCAAAAAATTATCCAATTTTCTTCCGAAAAACCACCATAGAACAGACATATGATGCGCTTGAAGGGGGAAAAATTGAGGAAAGTCAACAATCGGAAAGATTTTTTCAAGACGAATGCTACCTTCCTCCAGCGACCAAATACGACCAGGGTACAGCATCGTGATGTGTGAGGAGGTGGTGGTGTAGGTACGACCCCCCCTCCGAGAGAGGGTGTCAGTACGACCCCCCCCCCACCTAAATGAGGGTCTCGGTACGACCCCCCTTCCCCAACACCTACCTACCAATTTCCCCATTTTCCAGTCCAGTTTTTCACCCAAACATTTTCCGTCGGGAGGGGGGATATAGTGCACATGAAACAGGAAAAATCACGCAAAAAAAGTCAACAACCGGAAAACCAACGCGACAAATTTCTCTCAAAGGCACATACGACCCCTCTCTCCCAACGACCAAATACGACCCCCCCTCCCCAGAGAAAAAGTACGACCCCCCCATGTGTTCCACACAACGATGATGTACCCTGAATACGACTGCCTCTGTTGGATTTCGCCAACGACAATGTGCCTATACTGCTTATAAAATGTGACCAGGTGAGGACGACTCTACGTGCCGATTCGGGCACTACGAAAAATTAGGAGAAGGCACGCCAAGGAAGTACATAGGAATTGATCAACTCCTACTCTCCGATTTCCCTTTGTTCTTTCATGTCGCCAGTCGTGAACGTCGTCTTATGACCCTCTTCGGGCTTTGCGTTCATTTGTTCCTGATCTCAGATAGGAATAAATAACATCAACACTCATCCCTACCAAGTATAATAGATACATTTAATAGGAAAAAAAATATTATAAGACAGAAGAGCAAAGAGATTCTCAGCATGCTTCAAAGAGTGAGGCAGTGTACACAATGCACTACAGTTTATTCAGGAAGTGTAGCATATATGAAAGACATCACTACCGAGACCATCCTAATCAATAGAAAACTGAAACTTCGCGCGATCTCGCATTTTCACTTTCACTGCCGGATTCGTCGATCGCCGAATTAGTCAACTGCCTTTTTGATTTCTACTATAGTCTTTAAGTAGTATAAATATTGCCTAGACTGAAAAGAACAACCAATTCAGGTAGAATGCGAAACGCCGATTCTGAAGGAACGCCCAAAATCCGTCATTAACGATGTCTCACCATCTTTTAAACGGCCAGATACCTGTATTGGAGTGAAGCATTAAAAGCAGGATAACGATCAATACAATGAAGAAAATGTGAGCTAGAACCCTAGCCTCAGGCGAATTGACCTCACATTCCCCGCCTAGCTGGTATACGCAGCATCTGCGGTGGTAGGTCAACATTAGGCATTCGATAGCGTGGGTTCCAACTAGAGTCCTGGCTAGGGCCAAGCGTTTTGCCCACTACCAGGACTGCTGTGATAACGTTCTAACTGCGAATTGCAGTGATTTACATCAGTATCGAAGGAATTCAATTTGCCACCTTTGCGGTCCATTCCACTGTTCACTTTCACTTTTCGAGACGCATTTCATCTTTCCTACAATCCAACGCATTTTTATCACACGCACCTTGTTTCATGTCGACACCACCTTATCATTCGTTTATTCTGATGGAATCCATACTACACTTTCAAGTACGAACTTTTAAGCAATTATTCATCATATTACGGTGGATGTCCCCATACAAGTAATTTCCGCGATATACTCAAGCATTTTGCGATTGTAGGGGTAATCGTCTCTCTATAGAACTGACCTTGAAGAATTGTTGAGCAAATGTGGCTTTCTGCGAGATCCGAACAGCTAATACTACTCTTCTGATAAGGCACGTTTTGATCATACACCAGACAAACAAGCTTTCGCTGTAATAATGTACATAAGTTTATAGTAAAGATAGCAAAATATATTTGTTGCCTCAAATCGCGCCGCCGTCCATGGGGGTCAAGCTAGGTGAAGAGGTGTCAATAGTACTGATGAGGGAACGTTCCGGTTGTCAAAATTTCCGTTTTCCTGTTTTCCAGGTGAACTATATTTCCCTCGCCCCCCCCCCGCTGAACGGGCAGTTTCTTGTGAAAATGAGAAGTTCTGGAAACTCGAAAGCGGTAGGAAGTTAAGACAATTCAAGGAAATGGTAAGTGGTATGCAGCATGAGAGGGAGGGGTCGCACCAGTGAAGGGACTTGAGGGGGTCCTATTTTGCGGAAATTCCCCTCAACGGTAGGATGCACGTCACAGACACGCAATGCAATACGATGCTTGGCAAGCGATTTGTCGATTTCAGTTCTACATACTCTTTAAACATCTACCCCTGCTCGCTGCTTATGAAGGGGCGTGTCAGGCGAGATAGGTCTGGCGCGGCGCCAATTTCGTTCTGCACCACTTATTGAAGCGGGTACGCGACAACAATTCGCGGAAAACGACTAATGCAAATGGCATGATAGTGCCGCCTGCTCACTTCAACATCTGGTGGAGAACGGGTTTGGTGCCCCGCCAAGCTCATGCCTGACACGCCCTTCCACCTGCGAGCAAGACCGTATATCCACTGTTCTGCTAATAATTCCCTAACATCTTCATGTTATCGATACCCTTTGAGGTTTTTACTCTTCAACAAAGAAACAACCAAAGAATCAAATAATTTATTCCAAACATTTTACAAGCATCTTTTTACTAAAGCTATAATCACCTCGGCTAGTATAATAACTAATAAAACTACTCCAGCCTTCAGGGCTATTGATCTATAACAAAGTATAACATAAAACATAGCACAGCAGGCCCTAATAACCATTGGCTTTGCATTCATTGCATAACAAGATTAATCCAATAAAATCATAAAATCCCCTTATATGATGTGCAAACTCTTTGATTCGAATGTTTAGCTGTGTGAAAATTCATCACCTATTATATAGTAAGGCCAGATCTTCGACCCTGGGTTAGTAGAATGGATATTATGCAGTTTACTGCAAACCTAACATCAACTACTTCAACAGCTAAATCAACTTTAAACCCTCTATTTTCTGAGCGGACCCTCCTCGGTCAGGAATGATGCTCGAGAATCGATGGTGAGAATGTTGCAGACGCTTACAAAGCGAAAAGGTCACTTGTTCAGCGATGTTGCTATCCTTTAGATTAGAGAATGCATAAGTTTTTTAGACTCCTCGTAGGTAACAAAAAGACAGCCTGACGCTAGGCCTGTACGAATCAACGTAGGTAAAAGTCCCTTATACAGCGCTCTGATACCTGAAAAGAAGTGAATAAGCTCGAGACAAATATTTACAACAAAAAAATAGCCACAGACAACTGTGACTGAAGACAAACTGTGCACTTACCTTCGAGGACACTTTGCAATGTGCGAGGCGATCGGCTCGTAGCTGCAGTACCGGGCCACTTTCCCTGCTCAAAAGTACTTGGGAAGGGGGTGATAGGGTAAAGATGCCCTAATGCTGTCTCCACACTCTGTCAGCGCTATCATCAAGGTGCAGCTTTCGCACGACACCCAGTCCACAACCACGTACTCAGCGGTAGAATAACCAGAAGCGAGAGCGTGGAGACAAATAGCGCGTGTGGTTATAGCTAGCCGCCTGGGTAGCCGTGCGGTAGCGCGAGGCGAAGTATGGAGCCGGCACCAGGTATCACTACCTTCCACTGCCGTCCCCGTGCACTTTTGAGCGGAGAAAGTAGCACGTACTGCAGCAGACCCAGACGGCATAGACAAGGATCCACGAAGGTGAGTGTACTGCTTGTCTGTGAAACAACAGCTTTATGGCGAAACTCACCTTCCTGTTTAGCTACCTGTATCAGTAGGCTGACAAATTTCCCTTTTCCTGCCACCTGAAATGTACAAGGGATCTTAAGAATAACTGAATGAACAAATTCAAGGTGTTGACGAGATTTATCCGTCACCGGGGCACCCCCACTATCACCCGCCGCACTCCCCCCAGGCCCCCCCCTTCCCATCCTCGCCCTCGACTCGTACTCTCTCTCCGCTCTACTTCTCTCCACACTCCCATGCCCACCTCGTCTCGACTATCGTCGAGCGAACGTCTTCCACCCGAGCGTGCCGTGCACGAGTCCAGCAAACGCAACAAGAAGCCTCTACAGATCCCCTCCGTAGAACTACACGTTAGCAGCAAAATTACACAAAGCAATGTTTATAAGCTTTTTTTGAGCTGAATTGTGCCACGCACGCACAGTGGCACAACAGACATCTTATGGCAGCCGCACAACCTTCGACTCCCACAACACGATCCAACCTATTTATAATCACATAATCGAGTCTTATGTCGTCCAACACACATACCACACCTACTCTCACACACCTCTAGCTGATTAGCTTTGGCGATTATTGACCAGTCCACTAAAAAACTTCGAATACTACTGTGTTTCTTTGCGGAAGTGAGAGAGCTCTGACAAAACTACGCTTGCCCTTACACAGGATCTCTAGAAACTAGAAAACGAACTTTCGTGCCATGTGATTCAAATGAACTTGTTTCACTTACTTCCGGCATACTATGGGAAAAATTGACGTCCCTGTTTGAACCAAAAGTTGACACCTAATAGCCCAGAGCTATTTGTTGTTATATTCATAAGCATAACTTGTGATCAGTGATATGAGCGTACTGAGTATCTACAAACCTGCATTCGAGACTTTAATCGAATCGAATGGAAATATCGCAGCCCATAATGCCATTCCACCGATACCTCCAGAGGCTGCGGTCTTCAGTAGGCCTGCAAACCAAGGTGAAGAAACTCATAAACCACTTAGCTTGCTAGCCACTAGCTTGCTGAACGATTCACTAGGCAGGTTTTTTGAAAATGCTTAATTGTTATATAACTTATAACTACTGTTTTACGCCGCAGTTTCCGCTCCGAAAGCTATCACAAAAATGCTGAGTCAAGGGCAAAGTCTTGACACTGTACAGGAGAAGAATGCTGTTAGGCTATGGCACAAAAAGCTATTGAGCTGCGAGAGTGAAAGACGTTCCTAATTTCTTAACGAACAGCACACCGATCAGTGAAGCGCGCGATGCCCTTTGGCTGCCTGGGGTCGAGACTTCCCCATACCTTCTTGTTATGTTGACGGTAAGCAAGGGAACCTTGACAAAGTGCACTGGGGAATGTTGAGCATGTTCAGAAGTGTGACCATCAGATCGATTCTCTATCACGGACGTGGGCCGTGTTTACCCCTGATGTCATTCACAAGCCCATCGATAAGTCTTTCCCCTTCATCATAACCTCGCTACTGAACAAACAAAAGAGAAGCTAACTTTCAGACTTTTCATTCGGGCCTTCAAGAGCACCACCTGCACCGTGAAGCCCCGCTCGATCCTTGCGACCTGGAGAGCCATCGACTCCACAAAAAAGCTCAGGAGTCGGCTGATCTCCGATGTTCGGGATGGGTTTGGCAAGGCGCCTACCCTATTCTCCAGCAGTCGTTGGAGTAAGCGACAAGACTGCACCATGTCCTTCGTCAGTCAGTCGTTTTCCACCAATTGTTGTCGCTTCCTCGCTCCCACAACTGGTGGAGAATGAGTTTGGCGCCGTGCCACGCCCCTTCATCGGCAACGAACACTGTATGAGCAACACCACACCACTATCAGAACTTAGCGTGCAACTGAGTTCTCTAGGGCGGAACTTTCTCTGGTCTACTAGAACAAGTTAACAACTGAAACATTTCTTTACGAAAAACTAGTGAGATCACAAAACTCACCTATATCATCTTTATCCTGTCCCTCCTTCGTTAGCAGATATCGTGATGTCTCGTAGGCACCAAAGAAACAGAAATAACCAGGCACCTCAAATCAATGAACATAGAGGGAGAACTTTCGTTCTACTCCTTATACCTCCTTTTTTCTGCTTACAATAAAAAA